GGAAGATATCCTACACACTTTTCTCGATAAAAAAAAACAATGAAAATAATCCCACAGCGGCAACAAAACAACGCAGACAAATATTTAGTACTCGCTGAGTACGAGGAGGAGGACATCCCTCACTATGTCCAAATCGAACTAAACAACAAAGACGCCGAAATCAGAAAAAAATGATGTTCTTGTAACAATCCGGGGACGCCCAGTGGCTTGCTTCTCCTGTGGAGTACCAGGTCACTGGTCTAACAACTGTCCCAGATGTAGAAACAACACCCAAATACCACCTCCACCGACAACCTCAACTGCACCAAATTCATACAGTAACGCACTGCGTCAACCGCCCAAACAGAACCGTGAAAACACCCAAAAAACACCACTACTTCCGACCCCAACAACTCCCGCACCATCGCAACAAACGAAAACACTCAAAACTGCCTCACCGAAATCTACCTCGCCTAGACCCGTCAAACCACGACCCTCTTCTCCGCCACCAGCCATACCAAAAACTGTCCCCACTACAAAGAAGACTCCAACACCTACATTGACACCAACAACAAAAACAACAATAACAACGTCACCGACCATATCATCGCAACAACCATTACCTGTCACCCCTCCCCCAGCAAATAAATCACAACACAAGTCACCCATTGCAGACCCACCACCACCACTGACACCAACATACAAACAAGTCACCGACTTGTTTCATGATGACATCGAGCCTGACAGCCTAAATTGGGCGACTGAAAGTGAAAACATGGATACACAAAGAGACTTACATATCAAACAGTCGCCAAAAGATCACAAAAAAACGACGAACAACAACTAAGACGACGACGGACTGGAAAAGGACCTCGGACGACATAGTGAAAAACAAATACGAATTACTGGGAGACATAACCGACGACAACAATAGTGACAAGGACAGACGTAAGAAACAAGAAAGAACAGACCACACGGAAACAGCAGACACTGATTCCGAAATTTTCTAAATTAAAATGATTTTCTTTCGTCTCCTTCAGTTTTCGAGTCCACAGAACATCACAGGAGGAATGAATTGAAAGTCTTGACAGTGAACACAAGATGTACGATTGGAAAGCTGCACCAAATAACACAACTCGTCACTACTCAAAAACCAGACTTTCTATTTTTACAGGAAACAAACATAAGCACCAACTATCAGGCAAAATCGTACACACACTCACTAGGACTCAGTGAAGGAATATTTAGCTTAGGTAAATTTTGTAGAGGGACAGCTATACTACAAACATCAAATCGATGGCAGATCACACAACAAACAACACATAATGAAACAGGTAGAATAACAACCGCAACAATAACCGATAATCTCAAAACCTACAAATTAGTAAACATATACGCACCAGCCCTTCCGAACACCAGAACAAGTTTTTACGAAAAACTACAAGAAACACTAAGTAATACTCAACACAAACTTATACTTGCAGGAGATTTCAACATAACTTTAGACGACAGAGATATTGTAGGAACAAAAATAGGGAAAGGACGAAAAGGAAGAAAAGCACTACAACAAATAATTGACACACGCAACCTAAATAGATAGCTACAGAGAAATACATGCACACACAAATGATACTACAAATGGCACAGTAGGAATGGATAGAGAAGCTAGAATAGATAGAATCTATGTACACAATACAGATACAGTCACGCAATGTGAACATTTATAGTTGAAGCAAAATGAAACATTCCGTGACCGTGGAGCGCGGAAATTGCGTTCTTTGGCTTTTTGGAGACTTTATGAGTTAAAAAGAGAATTTAGCCCCCATGCTTCTTTGAAAATGGTGGGCGTTGTACATAATTTACATGTAAACTTCGTACCGTGTTAACATGCAAAAATACTTCAGGTAACTGGCTTGCATAATCACCGCAATGGACTGTTTTGTTTACATTCGCTTGGGTACAAAGTACCCGATCGCGTATGTCTGTTGTCACAATTCCAAAATCACAACATTATCACCCTAACATTTGATCTTTTATTTGAAACGGTTTGAACTGGATTTTATCCACTTTGTCACTTGTGGCATACACATAAACAGGTTGGGTGCACTACTGAAGATCTAGAGTCTAGTATTTATCATACAGAAAGAGGTAGAACAAAACAAATTTGTTAAGGAACCGCACAATTTTTTTTGGCCTATAACACAGCGGGATTCTCCGGATGGCATTTCAGTGCAGTGCGACCAAGGCATTGCGCGTGTTGTAACCAAACCTTTAACTCGACATTCCTTGACAAAGAAAGTAAAAACATCCCCGAAAGATCGGATGTTCAATTAGAGCAAGTTTTAAACACTAACTGATGGGGTAGAATTAGCGTTGCCAATTTATACTCGAAAATGTTTTTAAATTCTTGTTCTTAAAAAAAAACCTGATTCAAATTTACCATTTTGAAACTAAGCTATGCACAGCTAGCTATACTGTCTCCAACAGTAACATCAGAGAGTCTGTGGTAACATCATTCATAGATGTTAACAAGTTGTGATTGGTTCTAATTGTGGTTGCCTTAACGCTTGTGGTGAAGAGGAATATTTGTCCCATTTTACCTGCGGATGGTAAAGAATGCCCTACTTGTATTTTAGCTTATAATGGGTCAAATATATTAACTCCAAAGGTATTGACTTGAATCCACCACGCTTCTAAACTGGTATTTCTCTTCTTTTCATAGAAATGCTACATAAAGAATGAAAAAATGATGTCAGCATAACACTTATTTTTTACTCAAACACTTCTTTTTTATACGAGAACAATATGTCTGTCTTGTGTGTGTGTTTGGTTAAACACATGTATAGAAAAAAGCACACAAACCCTCTCATTTCATAAACCATTCTCCGTGAAACACTGTGAAAGCAAAATCTGAAAGTTGTGAGGGCTGGATAAATGTGTGATCTCTATGAATCCACTCAGTGGACAGATGTCCCGTGGAACTATTTCATGCACCTTCTGATTCTTTCACAATATAATACTTTAAAAAACAACAACCCACACACACTTTAAAAACCCCTTGAACTTTTAATCGCGAGCGACGACGGCAAGACATTTCTGGCGTGAAGATCCCGACATGAAGGATGAACTGTCAAAAGTGTCCTTGTCTACTTCCTCCCTGACTAGTTCTTTATGCAAACATCAGCTACCACCATGCATGTTGGAACAAGCACGTATCCCAAGGGGGTGGGTAGTCTGGTTCGACAATGCATCTTCAGAAAATTCATCTTTCAGATTTTTTTTGGTTGTAACATTTTGAAGATCACAAGCACATTGCCGATGACTGTGGGCATGCAGTTGGGGATATGAAATCGGCATATCGATCTGAGTTACGTACTAAGAAATGCAGAGATTCCATAGGCTTTAAGTTCGAAAAGGAAAAGAACAAACATGAGTGGATGTGTGATATTAAAGGAAGGGAAAATTATTCCAGGTCAACAATACAAGCTCTTGGGATAAGCGACCAACAGGTGATCCAAAATGTTGTGCTACGATTGTGTAACAGATACAGGAAAGAGACTCAGTAATGTGGCTATTTGTCATAAAAACTTGAAGAAAGTGGAGAAATTGCTCCATTAATCTTGAAACGTAACTGTATAACACTGCTCTAGAATCTGAAAAAAATCTGTATTGTCCAACTACTTATGGTTTAGCTTTAATGCTGAATTACTATGCACGTGGAGAAAGGGCAAGCACAGTCATTAACATCGGCATAAGCATGCACGGTGTCAAAAGGAGCAGACATTTGAGTGATACGCTTCTCAAAAGTGATGCCGATACATGTATCAGCATCTGGACTGTACGGATTTGCAGGATATGAAAACATCTTTTACTTTTCAACAAAAAATGGCCAATGGAAAAACTTGCTACTGTCATCGTTGATAAGGATTACCCCTATTCAAAGCCGATGCATCATGAGGTGATGTGACTTGGGCTCATGAGACAAAATTGACCTACAGTTTTAAGAAGCCAGTGAAGTAAATTAAGACAACCAAGGTCCCTTACTAATAATACTGAAAAAAGAAATCACTGTAAAGTTGAAGGTTAAATGATCTAAATGTCCAATTGAAGGTAACCGTGAACCAGCAGTCCATCCGAAAGTTCCTCAGTGCCACGGACTCCGGAGTGCAGTACAGGTCTTATCGTGTGCAGGCAATGGTGACAACAGATCTCCCTCAGACGAACAAGTTCCATCACACGGCGGGGCTCAAGCAGGCTCTCAGCATCCTCTCAAGAAAAGCTAATTATATAATCATGTTACATACCTTGAGCCATCAAGTAAGTCCGTTCTGCATGATGTCATAAAAATTTACGCGGTCACTGCAAGAAAATCCATACTTTTTGCCTTTATGGTTAGTGACAAACTAACATACAAAATCCTGGTCAAAACTAAAGAGGAAAACCCTACTCTCTTTAAGGATATCGTTCCAAATTGGGGGAGGGGGGGGGCATTTCATCTTTTTAAATGGCATACGAATATGCTTCTTTCAAACTCTTTAAAGGAACTGGGATGGCTGACTTTCGTGGTTGCAGCCTGAACTGTATACCAAGCTTTCATAGGGAAACATAACGGGAGTTGGTGTTGGATGTATTCTTTTGTTGAGAGAAGCTCTTGTCCATGACAGATTCATCAGCATAGGAAGCAGAAATCTTTCAATGTAAAGGACAACAAATTAGATACATTAACTTTCACAGACCATAAAGGAATAGTAGCAACAATTAACACGAATACAACGCAGCCGAGGATATCCCCACACTGGAAGTTTAACAACACTTTACTCGACAACACTGAATATACAAACATGATCACGAACACGATTATTCATCACACTAACAGATTACAGACAAATAATGCTAGAGAAATATGGGACAACTTAAAACACATAATTAAATTGGACACAATAACCCAGGCGAAAAAAGTAAGTAGACACAGAAGAAACAGACAGCAACAACTAGAATACAGAATAGAACTCGCCAAACAACTAGGTCTGCAGAAAAAAGAAAACGTAATAGAATTTAAAAGGGAATTGGACGAACTAAACCATATAAAATATAATGGAGCGCCGATACGAACAAAATATCCAACAATAGAAGATGGAAAACCAACAGCTGTATATCTGGCTTTGGAACAGAACGTAAAAAAAAAGAAAATGATAACAGCAATCACGGATGAAGAAGGAAATACACAAACAGATACAAAAAAAATAACAAAAGCCTTCTTAAATTTTTACACCAAACTATATTATCAACAAGACACAGAAGTTATAATCCAAAATGAATACATGCAACACGTTACACAACTCTCTCACGAACAACAGCAAATCATAGATACAGAAATATCCATGACAGACATGCGTAATGCACTCTAATTGATGAAAGAAAATACCTCACCCGGGCCAGACGGGCTAACGGTAGAGTTTTACCAAGCCTTTTTTCCAACATTAGGTCCTCTTTTCACTGCAATGGTAAGGGAAAGTTATGAATCAGAAGGATTACCTGGGTCACTAAACTTATCATATATTTCCCTTATTCGAAAAGACTCGGGATCCCCGTTAGACATGAAAAATTATCGCCCAATATCCTTATTAAACGTAGACTATAAAATTATCTCCAAAGCTCTAACCAACAAGTTGAGGCCATTTATGCAACACTTAATACACACTGACCAAACTAGTGCAGTACACGGTAGAACAATACAAGATCACAACAATACAATCAGGGACATCATCACTTACGCAGAAGATAAACAATTAAACACATGCATACTCTCACTTAATCAAACAAAATCTTTCGATAGGGTGTCACATTCTTTTTTACATACAATTTTAGAAAAAAGTAAAGTAGGCCCAAAATTCCAAAAATGGATTCATATCCTCTACAAAAAAAAAACACAATCTAGAATTCTGGTGAACCACACCCTGTCAGACGCTTTCAATTTAGAAAGATCTGTGAGACAATGTGATTCTTTAAGCCCACTACTATATGTATTGTGTCTAGAACCACTACTAAACTCAATCCGATTGGACCCAAATATCAAAGGTGTCAAACTCCCAGGAGGAGGAGAACAAAAATTAATAGCCTTCGCAGATGACACAAATTTTTTTCCAACTAATTACAAATCCATACAACAAATATTCAAACATTTCCGACACTTTGGAAAGGCAGCGGATCAGAAATCAATGAAACAAAAAGTAAAGCGATAAGACTAGGGAAATGGAAAAAATGGGAAAATGATCAAGCCAAAATAGATTTGGTGGAAGAAATAAAAATCTTCGGCAATTATTGCACAAAGTCAAGAGACCAAAATTCCCCAACTAAATGGAACCTCATTGCTGAACAAATCCAAAATCACCTACCGAAACTTTATTATAAACACACATCCATTTTCGGACGAAGCATTATCATTAACACCCTCATCCACCCAAAAATCAATTACATAACACAGACGATCGACCCACCTCCCAGTTTTATCAAAAAAGTAAATCAACTTATCAGACACTTTATCTTTAAAGGAACCCTACAACGCATCAGACACACAACATTAATACAAGACAAATTGAACGGAGGAATAAAACTACAAGATATAGAGACGAAAACACGAACCTATAGACTACAACACGTTAAGAATGTAGTCAAGAACAAACAAAAACATCCCATAGCCCACTACTACATAGGACTACACATGACAAATCTAACACCGATAGACAACACAGGCCCTCATTTTTTTCGGTTGACAGCCCTCTTTCTACAGAAAATGCCTCCGCACATATAGGCAAAACCCTGAATTAATCACTCACGCTCGAACAACGAAAGAGATATACACAGCATTAACTAAAAGACATGCAACACCCTTATACGAACAGATTAAAAGAGGTAGGAAATACGCCATCGTGGACTTCTCAGAAACCTTTAAAAACTTGCACAGTAAAAACATAACACCCTGGCAAAAAAAGATCACATACAGAATACTATACAACACCCCCACACAAGTATCATGTTTCCGAGGAAGAGCAAGATGCAAAACATGTAAACGACACACACAAGAAACAGAGGAACACATTTTCTACACATGCCCACAAATCTAACAGACCAAACATGAATTAGCGAAGCTACTCAACACAAATACCAACACACAGATAGACATGTACAAAGCCATCTTTCTGAACATGCTACCACCGCAAACAACAGATGTCCACAACATTAGGTTACAAATATTGGCAGTATATAGAGAAACAATTTGAACAGTTGGACTACAAACAAATTTTGAAGAAAAAAACTATACACCAAACATGATCTCGGACTTATTCCATCGAAAAATCACATACAACTTTAACACAGAAACAAAATGGGCAGTCTTTGAGGGATACTTGAGCTGCGGCGAGAAAGAGTAAGTAAATGATCCGAATACAAGCAGAATGACTAGGACAAGACCAATAGACGAACCATGTTAGACAAGAAGAGACTGCTCTGTAAACACAGAGTAACAACGACTCGACATCCCACTGGTTGAAAGATGACGAACACAAAAGAACACAGCTCTAAAGCGAATGAAATAAAAGAACCACCAAATAAAATATGTAGCCTACATGGCACAAATGAGAATGAATGGAAAACAATTTACGTGTATGTG